GTTTAGGCGGGAATTAAGTCTGTTCACCTGAGGTGCTTCAAGCCAACGCAATATGCCTCTTAACCGGCATTGAACGGGTTGAAATTTACAAAGTACTGACACCTCATTCTATGTTTCGGGATTGCTTGATAATACGCCAACATAGGGTACCTGAGGACTGAAAAATTGGGAATGGAAGAACCTCTCACTTAAAATGTGAGTTTTTGCGCTTCAACAGTTTAGGAATGATGCGGTTAGTCAAGTAGAATAAACCTAGTTAAAGGACAACAACTGCGCCTTTCAAGAGGCATCTCGTCATGATAATACATGCATGTTCCGTTCTCCCAACATATTTGGCAGGGCGATTGCGATTCGGGCTCAATGAAACTGTGCAGCGGCACGAAGTCTGCACGGCGAGCGCGCTGTTTTAAAAAGGATCCCAATCTTAGATGCCCTGGAAGATTCACCACAAAACAAAAAAACAACTGTTCCAGGAGACATCCGGGAACACACACACAAATTATGTTTGGGAGGTTATTGTTTTGTCAGTCATGGGTCGAGGCTCTCGCCGCCATGAAGAAATATGCATTGATGCGCTATCATGCACTGAAGGCGGCGTCCCCCGCATGCTTATCATGCTTGAAGAACAGTTGGCAAGATCTTTCAACTCTAATGACCAGCCCAGAGCCCTCAACGGCCAGCTCCAGATCGCATTGGGCACCGCCAGACGTCGCCAGATAGAATGTTGATTTGATTCTAGGATATTTTTGATGGCAGAAATGTCGGAATTACATATCAGAACACATACCATGACATGAAAGCAAATGACAGGAACGTCATGGTGGGGATCACGCGAAGTAAAACAATCTTTTCTGGAGGGGGAGATCTACAGCAGCTACGCACTGCTAGCAAGAGGAGGAAGAAACTTCAAGTCTCGCGAAAAGAGTTTTGAGGAGTTGAAGGGGGCTCTCAGAGGAAACGCAACAACAGGGCATGCCAGAACACTGCTAGGAGCTGTTCCTTCTCGAAAGCCTGGATGGTGCGCGCGGGGTGGCTGTGATCCCGCAACCACGGCCGGTGCTCACCAAGTTGCGCCAAACAGAGGACGGGAGTATATGGAAGTATGCTGGACTAAATGGAGAGCCACGTCATCGTATCGTGGAGGTAGACCTTTTTTGTGCTGCGAAAAACGAGGCGCATGAAGCAAAGCTTGCCGTGAGCGGTTCTGTTCGGTTCGTGTCGTCGATCTGGCCTCTCAACCAGAAGGCGCGCGCATCGTTCACAGGAAGGAGGATATGTCATCGACGTGATCTAGTATATGGGAGGAAAAAAGAAGATGATGAAGCGACTGATTAGTGGTTGGAGTGACCAAGGCCCAGATCCCCTCACTAGCACCACATTGCCCATTTGCACTTTATAACCTTGGCAAAGATTCCTGCAGGGCATGGTGACACGCAGTGTGACCAAGCGTATTATTACAATCCGCATCACCACACTGCATGTCACCATGCCACAAATCACCCATACTACCTCACCACCTCACACAACATAACACCCTGCATCGCCGCATTGCGTCACATCAACACAAACACAGTGAGTTTGCCACGCGATGTGATTGGGGCAAATGCTTTGTGGCTGAGGTGTGGGCCCACTATCTAGTATATAGTGCATCAGATATATGATGTATACAAGAGCGCTCCTACGCAATGAAAAGAACAACGTGATGGAAGGAAGCGCCTCAAAGAGAGCTTCACCCCCGCTCAAAAGCCTCATGTCGCACCACCAATCCATGGGCCCATCCAGAATAAGGGAGCCGCACTCCTCAAGGTATGTCGGAAGTTCAAGAATCAGAGTTCCACATGCAGTGGCGCCAAGCGAACGCTTTCCCATCAAACATTCCATATCAAGCTTGACCACGGATGAAACGCCTCTTCATGGGCTCGGTCGCCCATAAAGATCGCCATGTGGCAATCTCTTTGGTACATTGGAAAACCAACTTTGGGAAATTGGTGACAAGAGGGCCTCGATTCTTTTGACGCCGCACTGACGCCGGCAACACGACATTGATGCAACATGTCTTGTGTAGAACCATTGGCTTTCCTGCCCAAACAAGTTGGGAAGAAACTCCAGACTCATCGCCACTGTAGTACAACTGCTGACAGAAATTCAGCCATTGACGCACGACAGGCTTCAATGAACCATGTTTCTTCGCAAGGTGCAAGCCGTGAAACTTTTCAAGTGCATTTCGCATTTTCACCACCTGCCAGTGCGTGCCCAAAGCGCCACGCCCCGAAGCTTCCTGTTCACCCTAGCAGCTTGCAGCACCACCAAACACCAAAGCAAAGCCCAAGAAGCAGCCACCCCCTCACTGGTCCAAACCCAATGCTCGGTTATGACAGCCTGCTGAGCGCAATCTGGCAACGCTCCTACAATATGCTCATAAGGGCTTCAATCTATCTGGTAAATCTTCTGGAACATACTCGGACACCCTTTCTTGTATTCTATCTGGCATAGACTCGGGCATTCTATATGCACTCTGGCACTTTATCTGACATACCCTTCTGACATCCTTTCTGGCATATATTCTGGCATCCTTTCTGGCACTCTATCTGGTGTATAAACATCCTTTCCGGCATCTCTTCCCAGATTCTTTCTGGCATTCCACCTGGCATCTGGTAATGTATATATTCTGGCATTCTACCTGGCATATCTTCTGACATCCATTCTGGCATTCACCTGGCACATTGCGGCTTCTATGGCATACCTGAGGTATTTTTCTACCTGGCATATTTATATTGACATCCTGTCTGGAATATCATGGAAACTGACCGGGGGAAGGGCAAATCGTTGTTGATGACTTCAAGTAATTGAACCAAAATTAAAAAATGAATGCGAATACATGTGAATGACAACCCCTTGTCAAAATGCCAGAACATGTTGTCAACAGTTTGGAATTATAAAATATACAAAGCCATATGCAAGCAATATATAAATAACAGTGAACAACTAATGAACATATTGAAACAAGTCAGGAGAAAGACCGGGCCCTGCGCTGCAAAGAATGTATATAAATTGCCTAAAGCCAGTATATAGCCAATGAAACATGAAACACAATGGTAGCATAATAGTAACATACAATGCAATAACACATTGGCGACCCAGTCTTCCAAGCAATCCGCAACTTTCATGTTTGATTGCTGGGGCGCATCAGTGCACAACTTGGGTTTCGGTCGTTGTTCTTGCGGGGCATCAACAATGGTAGGCAAAAACTGCAGTTTCTGACCCCCTGATTCGTGCACCCTGTTTCTCACTCCTTTTGGGCCTGGCCAAGTTTCAGTCCGTTGTCCTGGAAAAGTTTCTAGTGACAGCCCTGTCGCACGCTTGGGTCATCGACCCCGACCTAAGCAGCCGTTGTCCCTTGTGCAGCTCTATAAATCTGGCATGTCTTAGTCTTCTGACATCCTTTCTGGCTTATCCGGCATACCTTCTGACATTCGAGAGAGGCAGGGAATCAAAATTCCTACTTGCCTTTTGTAATTCATCTCTTTCCGTTTGTGATCATAAGAGAAAAATAACTTAATAATGATCAGAAATGGATGTGATGGTTCGTTGTATTGTGCTACCTACACTTACACCATAGGAAAGAGATACTCCAATAAGATGAACCATCATTTGCCTTTTCATTCTCTCACATCGCCATATTATTATTTTAGTGAATGCTGTGAGAGGAAGAATGCGTTTGAACGAGTAGGGAAAAGGAACTTCCCAGTCTTCCCAGATTTGTCCCTAAACAGTTGGCTGTCTTCTTTTTGGTTCAGTATGGTTCTGTATGCCACCAAAAGCAGGTGTTATTTTTTTGGCTTCTATATGTCGCACCAGCTCCAAACTGATTTATAAATGTGGTCGGGTTGGCCAAAACCTAGTAATGAAAAAGTTTCCCGATCATTGGCAAAGACACAGAAAACAGGCCGTCCACATATACACTATGTGATGGCTGCCTCGATGGACCGGCAAGGGCTACTGCTGCTACTACAGTCAAAACTTTGCAACGTGGAGATTTATCCAGATTGACGATTCCTAGGTGATTGTGATTGAAGCTAGAAAGCGTGCATGGGTTCGGGAGTGATGTAGATCCTTCAATGTGGTCCAACATGGTCAGCGCGAGATCCCGAAGGACCACAAAGTGTGCTTTCAGAACCTGAAGAGCGGCAAAGTCTTGACTGCACCTTCCTAAGGTTTAAGGACATGCAACTCTTAGAGAACCGCAAATGCAGCAAGGTCCTTGGACTGCCCATTAATTGCGTATCCATTTCATAGAGGACTGCTCTTCATCATATAACATCATGTATATGTAACTAGACAAAAGTAAAAAATACTAAAAGTATCTAAAAGTGCTTCATGCACACCAATGTATGCTGCAAGATTGACCAATGCTAATTCAGGATTGGATTACACCGGCATGCACTCGACCCTAGATAGCGTCTTGGATATGTCCAAAAACTCACGGGGCACGCTTATGCGGTCGCTAAACCGCCAACCAGGTCATTACTGCCAGATATGTAGGGCTATCAAAGCAACGCAATGCATTGCGCTGAAATCGGGGATCGCAGCTCCTGGAAGGAAAAGTGGCAACCCAAGGATGGGCTTTGTGGGAGCCTCACGCCACATACAGAAATCAGGGGTTCCAAAGTTCGCAACAAGTTGCGATCACCATGGTTTCCAGCTACCTGGGGAATAACTGTACATTTCTCTATGCCTGGTGAATCTGCGGCACCCGTCTGTGGAATCTTGCTCTGCTGGCCAACACTTGCAACTCAAAGCAAGAATGACAGTCCGCCGTGGGGGGGGCCTGGGATGAATTAGTCCTTGCTAAGTCGTGAATTACTGTACATGGAGGCCTGTAGGAAACCCTGAGAAACAGGTGTCACACACACATACAATGCTGTACACACGCACACACACAGATATATATATATAACACTGACACAAAACAAAGGGTATAAAGGGTGTAAGGCGCCCACACATCTCCAAATGTGACCTCCACCTTCTGGTCACTGAATGAATGCAGCAGTTGCTCAACCGCCTGACGACTGCTAATTCGCATTTGTTCTTCATTTGATTTTACCTATATATATATATATACAAGCACCACTGATGCTGAAGCTTGCACTTGCCTCTACAATTGATGGACATACGGACTTGAAGCGGTCCCAATCTTCTCGTTGACCCCGAGGGCCCAAGCACACCTACACGAGAAGCAGTCAGCTTGCAAGAAAAGAGCCATCAGAATCTGTCAATCTATACATGTAGGCGTTTCTGAGTGGGCTCCCTGCAAAACAGGTACAGGTGAGTGGAAACGAAGACCGTGGGCCGAGTGGGCCCGCTGGACCCAATGCGTTCGCAGCGTTCATACTATGGTCTATGGATGTCTATGGTGGCCATGGCTCTCTCTACAACTTTCAACTAGACGGTGGCTCCATTGCTCAGTGGTCTGTCTTCCAGTTCTGTGGCATTCCTTCGCAGCAGCCTCTCGCAACCTATTTTACGCTTCTACCCTTGGGTCCGACTTGCTGTGCTCTTGGCCGCTTTGCTCCGACGTCTTAGATGTCAGGGGTTGTCTGTCCCTGTTTTTGCCGACTCTCTCGAGTCCGAGTCCTTGCACGCTTCGCAAATGGAGCTGAATCAGTTGCGCCATTCCGGCGGTACCATGCAGCACTTTTCTTATCGGCTGGCTTGGCCTGAGCTTGCACTTGATTGGCTTGGCTTTGCCTTGTGCTTGGAAGTGCTAGGCTATGAGAACTGGTGGGCTACAGCAGTGGCCCGTTCCATCCGTTGCCCGGCATGAAAAAAATCTCACATCAAAACTCTGTGCAGATGCGGGAGCTCACGCAGGCAGGCCATCCTACCGAAAGAGTGTGGCATGTGGCAAAGCATGTGCAAGAGTGTGGCCTACCTACACTCCATCAAGTTTGATGCCGTCCTCCTGGGGGAGAACTGATGCAGTCAGTCTGGGTGGTGACACTGTCAAAAGAACACAGCATCTACCCTACCTGCCGAGCTGAAAGAGGGATGAACAAATTCAAGGTCAATGTTGAACAACGGGCAATCTTTTGAGGCGAGTGATTCGTGAAAGAACTCTTAGTGGCAGTCCCACACAATTTTTTCATCTATATATTGTTCAAGTCACATCATCAACCGGTTTTTGGCACTGAGTGCACGTGTGTTGGAGTGCCTCCCTTTGATTGTCGTGCTTTCATCTCAACATCTTTCATCGCCTCTTGATGCCTCTCGGTTTATTGGTAGGGTTCAGGTGTATATGATTTATTTAGAGACATTAATTCATGAGCACGGGGTCTGGCTAATCAATCAAGCCACAGCCGTCAAAACATGTTTAAAAAACCCAACAAAGCTGTGTCCATCGCCTTGGTTGGCTTCCCACTTTGGGACCAAACAAGTTCTGGGAAACTCTCACGCATGGTTTCCCCCTGCACACGCAGGGTCTACGTGGAAAACTCAAAGCTCAAACAGCAATAATGCCACGATCGGCCCAAAGCCTCTGCAATGTAGTCTCGTTCGCACTTCTCCAGCGCCTGCCACATTCAGACCAACCTGCTTCTGTGGCAATTGTTTTTTGCTTCCTTTTGTTTGGCATATTGGAACGCATGCAAGCCTTGCGCCCCCAGACGAACACCCTCCAAGATTCAAGTCGATCAAACAAGCCAGCACGGCTATTTGGCGAACAACTGGTCTGTTCGAAAATGCGATCTCATCCACAGAAGGCAAGGACCAGCCTAGACATCTCTAGGCTTTAGACTCTGCACATGTCACATGTACCGCTTCATGATTGAAATCTTCGACTCCACTTGCGGAGTGACGCGCGCGTGGAAATTGAGTTTACAGGCCAAAAGCCTAAAAGTGCCAACGTGCAAAGCACCCTTTTTCTTGAGCCAAGTTAACGAGAGTTAGTAGACATGTACTATATACAACTGTGCAAAAACACCCCCCGCTGAACGCACTTGGTTATCAGGGTAGTGAAGTTATCTATGCACAGCTTTGTACATGGGACAACGTGCATGCTACTGACTCCCGGTCCCCCGGTGTTTCCCTTGTGGTCAACACCTATCGAACCTGAATCTTTCATAGATCTTCCAACCGACCTGAGGCGCGAATGGGAACATGAACATGGACTAATTTACTGCAACCTTATGCCGATCGAACGATGCAAAGCAGACGCAATGCTTTTCACATGCATCCACAGCTCGTCAAAAGTGAAAATGGGCCTCTTACATAGGCACACGTTTCCACGCGGCATGCTTTGATGCTTCCATTTTGGGAGAGTGTACATCGACACTTAGCAAAGTGTAGTCCAACAAAAATGCGGAGAGCCCTCAAAACAAAAAATTGCGTTGAGGCATCTGCTTCCGCAGTGCGTGCTCGGACTTTGCAGGAAAGCCTTGCGATACCAAGCTACGACAAACACTGATTGAACAAAGATTGCGCAACTACCGCAATGGCATCGGCTTCCGCCGCGCATTCACTGCCCCTGGCGCCACCAGTCTGCGCCATAGTTGTCATAGTACCAAGTCCAATCCGCTTGATATACCAGCCCGGGATCGTGCCTGCATCATCGTCATGGTCACGCCAGCTACGGGCATTGCGATTGCGGACATACGGTGCACCAGTACGCCAAGCTTTCCCCTTTGCACGTTCAACGCCTTCACGATTGGGGACGTTGATGTTCCTCGGATCGGCTCGAACGAGGTTCTCATATGGAATGCTCTGCAGATCTGATGCGAGCCAGCTCACGAATGATCCCTTCAACGCCTCCACGTCCTTCTCTTCCGAGAGGAAAGAACCAGAAAAGCCCAGTACTTTGAATCGGGACGCTTCCATGGCGTACAGCCCGATGAACAGTCCAGGGCGAAGAATTCGGTTCTTCCAGAAGACAAAGACTTCCTGGGCGACATCGGAATCATGAGCATCTTCGCCTTGACATTGACTCCCACACCGTCCTGGATCTGCTGAGCTGTCCTGGTCGGAATGGGGAGGACCGCTGTGCTCAAGCGCTGGAGAAACTTCAGGCAGTCCGGAGTCATGTCTTGCAGGCATAAAATGCATCAGTACAGAGGCGTTCAGTGAGGGATGCAAACTCTAGTTTTGTTGCTTTGTCAGTGTGTGATTTGGCGTGTGCGCGAATGGTAGCGATGGCTCATGGCCAGCGCGTTGATGTGCTGCGCCTTGGTTCAACTTGGTTCCTCAGCCCACGGTCCCCCCGGGCACGAAAACCGTCGTCAGGGAACATGTCAAGTGTGAGATCGAAACCGAAGTCGGCTGCAAGATTCTGTAGGCATACCAACAAAGACGCCTTTCTCAGGTCAGTAGCCACCTTTGCCAATCTGCCACAGTTGAGGCAAGAAAGACAACCAAAGGGAGAATCCGTCCTGCACTCTGCGCAGTACTGGGGCTCCACCTCGCAAGCACTCCACCAGCCACACAAAGTTCACAAAGTCACCTCCTTCCAAAAACAGGCACATGGGGCTATCCAGCCCAACTGCTCCTATCTAGTTACATGGGGCAGTC